TTATATTATCCATATTATATTATTCCATATCCAAGGGGATCAAAATTTTGGTTAAATATCCAAATACATTATTTACATTGTATTTGGAAGTATATTTGGAAATGCCTAACTTTAGAAGTTATAGTTTTAATTTTTACAAGTGTTATTTATACATGAAAAACTAATGACCATGGTAATTTGCTTTCCTCTATTTGTAAATCCATAACCATCCTTTTTAGTCTAAAATCATCTACACTTTTGATAATAAGTTTCCCATATTGTTTTTATATTTTAGGCTAAAAATCTCATAGAGAGATTTTTTAATCAACAAGTAGAAGTTCTGGGCAGACGTGCAGAGCCATTGCCTGAAATATACTATATTGAAGGTACTCTACAGATGGTTTGGATTAATCGCTGCTTTCCTGGGTATGGAATAAATATCATGAAACATCCAAAATGTCCTGAGTGCTGTGGTATGTAATAAACTAAAATTTCATGGTTTATATTTATACAAATATACTTACTATGCCTTAGTAGGTAACTGTCACTCATATTTATTATTATTTTAATATCTCTATAATTTGAAGCCATTAGTGTATTAGAAAAGATTATCTAGATCTGAATGCATAAATGAAAAAAGAAGCTAACTTAATTTTGGTATAGGTAATGGTATAGCATGAGCATAGGAATATTAGACATTGTCTGGAGGAAATAAATAATATTTGTAAGTCAGTTAAGAGTTAAGTTGCCTTCAGAGATTCAAATGATATTTCTTAGGATAAAATACTGATAGATTTTGGTTTTATAAAGAAGTATATGAAGTACTTCATTACCAGTTGTTTTTCTGATTCTTTTTTTGATCCTAACACTAGCATACCAGAATAGCTATCTGCCTTTCACTGAAATTCATCTTTCTTATTGGAAAGGGTTCTGTTTAGAATGGATTCAGTCTTGAATTTCTTCTTTTGAGAGTTAAATGAACCAATTTATCTTATGTCATAAGAGACTTTTCTGATATAAATGTTACTCAGTACCATTTTAGTTCAGTCTTTTTTGATTTTTTTTTCTTTTCCTGCTGTCTTATGTAAGGTTAACATCTTTCTCATATAATAGAGTAGTAAATTTTCTTAGGTTTTGCTTCATTTAATTTTGCTATGATTTTAAGTATATAGAATTATTAAAATTATTGAACATTTAAAGAAAATATAGTAACAAAGTCAACAAATAAATGCCAACTTTGTAACAATTTTGATAATCTGTATGTATCACTGTAGAATGCAGATATGAATAAAGTCTTAACCTACCAAACAGTAAAAATAGAATTTGAGAAGTAAAAATTATCTTTACCATTACTATTTTTGTGTTGATAAAAGTTCTGATTGTGATGCAATGTTCATTCCAATGGACTTTTGTATTGTAATTACAACTTGCAAGTTATTATATGTTGTATTATATGATCAGTTCAGTAAGAAATTATCTTGCTACTAGCAACAGGCCTCTTGGGAAGTACATAAAATACATAAATCTCAAAAATCATTTCTACCTCTGAAATACTACAAAATATATTTTGTTCTCCCAAATACATGGTTTCTGCCCACAGAGTTTAAAAAATGTAGGAAATGCATCCATGAAATAAGTAGGAAACAAGAGAATGTGTAAGCTGCAAGGGAGAAAATGAAAAGATTAATGAAAACAAAGTGAGTTTGAGAGAGAATAGATCCCCAAAGAATTAATGTAACTAAAGTAAGATTTTCTGTGTCATTTGATACTTGAGATAGAATTTTGAAGATATAGGGTTAGTAAATGCAATCCAAGAGGGGTCATGAGTGAGCAACAGATCGTTAAGAGTTGTTATCAACAATATTTGACTAAGATTGGAAGATTAGTGTCAGAAGACACATGGAAAATGATAATGAATGCATAGTGGAAGATTGGCATTTAATATGATTATTATAAAAGTCATATCTTTGATTTTAAGAGTGAAATAAAATTTATTAATTTATGGAAACATTATCATTGATCAATAGACTTATTAGTCATTTGCCGAATTACATCATTGCTTTGGTGATAAATATTTTCACTTGGGGTTACCTTTCTGTTATTTTAATCTCTATTAGACTAATAAGGTGTTGGGGTGCCCGGGACCCTAGCCCCATGATTCAGCAGCCAAAATGGCGCCTGGCCTTTAGCCAATGAAAAACAAAATACGCCAACACTCGCCTGTATAAGGAAGTTAAATCTTATTGGATATGCTTCCGCGTAATCATGTATGCTCGTTGTGTGTCCTGCCCAAATATGGTTGTTGTACACGTGAGCAGTGCTCTAATTGACCAATGTACATGTGAGCAGTGCTCTGACTGGCCAATACACACGTGAGCAGTGCTCTGATTGGCCAGTGTACATGTGAGCAGTGCTCTGATTGGGCAATGAATGCTATTTAAGCAACTGCCACAAAGGACTCTGGGGGGGGGTGGGCAGCAGGGAGGAGGCAAGCTAGAGCAAGCTAGAGAGCAAGCAAGCAAGCGCGTGGGTCAGAGAGAGAGAGAGAGAGGAGGGCACGTGTGTGCGCGAGGGAGAAGAAGAATATCTTCTTCTGCGTCCAGAAGATATATCGTGGCGTCTTTCTGATGGCAGAGAGTGTGTCACAATAAGGCATAACTGAGCTTTCTTTTTTGAACAAAATTCATTAAATCCTATATGACCTTGAGGTCTCTATCATATATGGTATTTTTGTTTATATAGCACAAGGCTGTCATTCTACAAGCTTAAAACATACATTACATAAAAATACAATTAAATCATTCTCCAAATTGAAAAGTAATATAAATACTAGTTACTATACAAATGTGTATGCTAAATTAGCTTAAAATTCAAATATAAAATAAAATACTAGATAGATAAAACATACGAGGCCCTTTGTAAACTGATTTCTTTCCAAATGAATACATGCCAAGTTTATGCAGGCCTGTTTATTAAATTTGGGAAGTTTATTAAATTTTGGGAAGCAGTAGGTTAATGATTTTTTTTTTTCCTTTGGATATCTTACTTTACTTTTTTTAGCTTCTAGAAAGCAGATGAAAGATCATTTATTTATAATGTAGTGTGGATTTCACATTTCTATTGATATTATTTTTCTCACTTGTAATTTGCCTAGCATCCTAAATTAATTTTCAATCGAAAAAATGACTCAAATTTCATGTCTATAATTGTTCATCATATGTAACATTTTCTTATTCATTTTGACACTGTAAAGTTAAAAAAATAATTTAAATTTGTGAATTATAGGTGCGACACAATTTCATAAATTATATAGTATAAATACTATAACTAAAGACCAACTAGAAAATTATTTTTGGTAGAATTTATTTGCAACAGGTTCTGAATATTTTTGGTGTATAATTTTGTAAAACTGAATACCTTTCCGTCAGCTGTATTTTCTTACTATTCAATCACCTCAAAAAAAAAAATCCCACTTGAATATTAGACTGTTTTTACATAGAATAGCACTCCCCTTGCTTATTCTTCCTCTGTCTTTGATACTATAGTTCAGAAACCTTTTTTTTTATAACAGTTTATTTT